GAGTGCACTGCACTGCCACGCTGCCAGCACAAAGAGGAAGAGCAAGAATGTTTTTCTCAACGGATTTTAACTCCTTTCTAATGATTAGCACCAAAACTCTGAAATAATGAAGTAAGTCCATAACTAGAGAAACAAGCAACAGAAAGCATCACCCATTGCCCCCCAAAACACCTCTGTTGCTGTTCACACCTTGGTTTGGGGTTAGTATTTTTTTTTAAACAGAAAGTTGTCCCTGACCAAGCTGGAGGAAACAGCAGCCAGAAGGGTCATGAGCATGTTTCCCTTGAGCTGAGGCAAAAAGGTCCCTGTGCAGAAGAACCTACAAAATAGAGCAAACGCTCTGGAAGCTCAGCTGAAGAGCTCAGAACCCCCAGGATCTGTGCGGAGGGGAGCAGGATGACAGGAGCAGAGTAGGAGCCTCCAAGCCCCTCATCAGCCACGCGTGGGTAGGAGGCAGCACTGGTGCAGATGGCAAAACGCTCACCCCAGCTGGGAAGGCCTCCAGCTTGAAGCCTGCTGGTTGAGGAGGATATGAAAGACAGTGAAATGAATCACCCAAGAAAGATCATCCCTCACTATGCAAAAGTGGATGGTAAATAGGGGGAAAAAAGTGTTTGTAACTTGTTACACGACACCTACAAGTTGGTTTAATTAGTTCTTCTACAAGTGATGAAAATAAAGATCCAGCTTCAGGGAGGAAAAAAAAATGCAAGTTACTTCCTAGGCAAGGTGAAAACCTTACACTTCAGCAAGACCAGCTGCTGAAACAGCTAAAATACGTCCTGTTCTCATCCTTCCCAAGGCCCAAACCCAACGGTTCCGTGAAGAGATGAGAAACTGAGAGGGGTGTAGACAAACCACCACATCCCACCAGCTTCAAGAGATGAGAGCAGCCTATTTGCTTTCAGGAGGGAACCAAACAGTCATCAGAGAACCCAAGGCTCAACCAAAGCAGGACATGACGCTGTAGGATGCTTTTGCATCACATCACAGGATTTCTAATCCAGCTTTACTCCCTGAGGAATTCCCTCACAGGTAGATGCAGTTTGCTTGAAAGCCCAGTGTCAGACACAAGAGTCACTGAATTATAAGTGGCAGCAAGTTTGCTCCAAAGCACTTAACCACAATAATCCTGTTCTAAAGCAACATTATGCCCTAACTGACTTCCTTTAATGCCCTCAGTCACCCTGGCTGCAGCAGACCCTGATCTGCCCTGCAGCCACACTCCTGACAGCTCATTTCCCACCTGCCCTCTGAAAGCAGGGGCTCTCCAAGGGTGCCCACCCTGCAGGACAAGGGAGCACAAGAACGACTCCACGTGCAATCTTAATGCAGTTGTGGAGTAGATTCCACAGATAAATTATGGATATCGGGATACCAGAATCTCAGAAGGGTTTGGGTTGCAAGAAACTTTAAAGCTCATCTCATTCCACCCCCCTGCCATGGGCAGGGACACCTTCCACTAGACCAGCTCGCTCCAAGCCCTGTCCAACCAGGCCTTGGACACTTCCAAAGCCATCTCAAAACGTCTCTTTTTCTAAAGAAACTGATAATCTGGTGTTGCAGCAAACAGGATGTGGTAAGAAGAAAACAGCTAAGGTGGTTACGCACTCGGCTTCGAGACACGCTGTACTTCCCCAAGAGGCTTCTGCTGGTGGAGGAAGCAGCTTCTGCAGGAACAGCCGGCTGTGCTGGGCTGTCAGCACTGCCAGAGCTCTCTTCTGGGTGCTCCGACAAGCTTCACGTCCTCTGACTCATCGGGCCATTCTTAGAGAGTTCAAGATCATTCTGGAGCATCGCCCCAGCAAACAGCAGTGCCAGTGTCAAGAGATGAGGGCAGCTTATTTGCCTTCATGAGGGAAAAGATGTAAATAGAGAACAGACGTTTGTTTATGCAAATATGATTAAGCCTTCAGGCCATTTCCACCCCTGGTGAGTTTCCTGCTCTTAGTCTGATCCTAAAGGTTTTGGTTTCCAAGCCCAAGCTGCCTGTGTAGCTGCACACCTGGAGGAAGTGGCAGGGAGGAAATTTAGGCCAAGCTTTGACAGTGGGACCTGGAAAGCATTGACCCTAAAAGGATTTTAGGGCTCATTAAAGATAAGCACTTGGAGATGATGAGACCAGCACCATAATTAGACACATTCATAGGGAAAGATCCACAGGAACGACTCAGCATGACATCAGAGCCCTTGTATCAGACAGCTGATCAAAGCCTGGGTTTACATTTGAAAGGATACTGAAAACTAGAAAAAAAACCAGTGACCTGGAGCTGTGAGGAAGAATTCAGGTCTAGGGGAAAACAAGCTTAATACTCCTCATCTACAGCACTTGCCAAGGAAAAACCAGGTAGCACAATGCAGTTTTATAGTCATTTTAAGAGGATAAAGCAGTGGATACTGGATGGCTCTTCAGTTGAAGACATAATGGCCCCAAGGAGCCGGTAGGAAGGGATGAACCAGCAGAATTACAGCTCAGAGATTCACTTCACCCGGGTTCATTTAGACTCCACCCCACACCTGCACACCCAGGACCTGCCCTACCTGTGGTCTGGCCCCATCCCTGCCATACAAACAGACAACAAGCAGAACAAAAAAGTGATTAGACTTTTAATTACCTCCCTATATTTCTTTTCACAGCCTTTTTGCATAATGCTTGCCTAAAATTGCAGGTACTTTACCACAAGCAATTATGCTAATGTCTGGAAACAGAGCTAATTGAATGGCAAAGAACACGCTAGAAAACATAATAAAATTTAAATGAACAACCACAGTAAGGAAATAGAATATTTTCCAGTGCAATGCCAAGTCTGCTGTTAAAAACAGTTGTGTTTAGCTTTAATCTTTTTTTTTTTAATTCCATTCTAAATCCTACTTTAGCTTCAGAAATAACTGAAACTACAGCAAAGTGGTAACAGAAGTGCCCCTCTTTTCCAGGTCATTCCAGACAAGTCCTGCTCTGACAGTACCAGGGGAGAGGAGGAGAAAACCCCTTCTCTCTGCACAGCTGTAGCTCTGCAGCTCAACATCTGGGCAAGAAACTAATATGTTAATGAAATTCCAGGCTCTAAAATTCCAGGATCAATGGCTACGACAAACATGGGGGGAAAAAAAAAAGAAAGATCTAATCCTCCCAAAGTTCAATTACCCAGTTATAATTGCTGTCACTTATCAAAATAATTGCAACAATCCTCACTGTTTCTCAGAACCAACTGGTAATGAAAAGCATTCAATTACATAAATATAAATATCCATTACATAGAAGTTGGTCTGTTTGACTTCTTTTTTTTTTCAGGGGAAAAAAAAGAAAAAAGGAAAAAAAGGACTTCTTCATTTCACTGTCCCCAAACAGGCTCAGTTGAAGCCAGGCTGTGTTTGGTTGCTTAAAATTCTGCTTATTTTGCAACTGCCATGCTACAGCAAAATATTAATGATTCAGCACAGGCATCTGAGCTGAGGCACACACTGAGGTGTCAGTGCAAGCAAACGAGGTATCTGCATTTATGTGGTAAAATTTTTGGCCACAATACAAAGTCATAGTTTCATGCATAAATACAGACCACACATCAGCCCAAAGATGCCCCTGTGTCACCACCTTTCCCAGGAAACGAGGTACAGCAGCACTGTGTTCACTGCAGTCTCACTGCATTTTAGACAGGAATAAAACCATTGACCTCTTCGAGTTTTTCCAACCTGCTCCCCATTTTGCAAGACAGGAGCAGCTGTGCTGTCCCAGCCAACCCACTCCTCAGATCTGAGGGACAAAGATTTCACAAGCCTCTCATAAGATCCATTCCCTGCTTTACTACCCACCCTGCTACTAAAACAGGTTTCTTTGTATCCAGATTTTTTCTTACTTAAGACTTTAAGTCTCTGGAAAATGGACTAACCTCATCATTTCTGCAACAGCTTCTCTGGGTTTGAATAATGTTCAACCTCACTTCTCCCTTTCGCCACCCACGTCACACCCTATTTCAATACTTCCCTCTAGGTCACATTTAACAGACTGCTCAGCACGGTCTGCTCATTCCCACTGCTCTTTCCTGGACTCTTCCCAGCAGGTCCATGTATATTTTGTAATCCACTGCCAGAATGGACACAACATTCTGCCAGAAGAGGATTATTTCACATGCCTCACTGGCTACAACCCTGATTTTATATTTAGCTGTGTGATCCAGCTGAGCCAACACAACCCAGGGCTCGTGTCACAGCCAAGTCACTGAAACACGTCCACCCACCCCGAGGATCTGCACCCTGTGTTTGTGTGATTGCTCCAGCACACAGCTGGGGAGGGCACTGCTGGATCTGACTGTGGAGCACTGCAATTTTCCCCTCCTGCAGTTTATGGAGTGTTTGTAACTCAGCCCTTGTCCTCGGTGTGGTCACAGCACGCCAGCAGAACACAGAGGTTCCCGAGCCCTGCGCTCGCAGTTAACTAAAACACTGATCTCTGACGTTCCTCTGCAAACTCCTTGGATCCACCCTTCCATGGAATACTGATTAACTGCTGCACAGGTCCACTTTCCCAGACTTTCACCCCCAGCACAAAGCAGTTTCACCCAGGCCACATCTCCCCTTGTTGTGAGCAAGAACATGAAGTCAGAGGGTCAAGACAATACATCTGGGATCTCTTCTACTCCTGCTCCCTTATCAACAGGCCCATTACCTCTGTAGAGGAAAAAAAGTTTAACTGATGTGACACATTATATTGTTGACAAGCCCATACCAAGTAATATAATTTTCTCTTTGATGTTTCCAAATAATTTAATTATTTTCCCGGTAGTTTTCCAGAACCTGAAGTTGACAGATTGCCTTGCTTCGTCTTCTTCCCTTTCACAACATTTTGTTTTATTGAAGACCTTTGTTTTACTAAGTCCTGTCCATAGTCCATGGTTCTTCAGACCATCTACAGCACTGATTTCTCAGCAGTCATCACAGAGAAATGTGAAAACCAAGCCAATCTTTAAAATATTTACATAGCATCTGATTGCAATATGACTTACCAATTTTCTGATGAAAGATCTTGTCAAAGGTTAATTCACCCCTTTCTTCGAGGTATTTCTGCATAACACTGCGGATACTGAAGGAAAAAAAGAATAAAAAAAAAAAAAGAAGAGTTACTTGAAATTGCTTCTTTTTAAATCAGGCCTTTACCATACTTTGAAGAAAAGGATCAATGAAATGAAGCATCCACGGAAAAGACTGGACAAGCTGGATCAACGGGCTGAGGGCAATGAGGTTCAACAAGGTGAAGTGCTGGGTCTTGCCCTTGGGTCATAACAACCCCACACAACACTCCAGGCTGGGGGCAGAGAGGCTGGAGAGCTGCTCATCAGAAAAGGACCTGAGGATGTGCCCAGGTGGGCAAAGGCCAGTGGCACCCAGGCTGTACCATCCATGGTGTGGCAGCAGGACCAGGACAGTGCCCATCCCTGTGCTGGCACTGCTGAGGCACCTCCAGTCCTGGGGACAGTCCTGGGCCCCTCACGACAAGAAACACATCGAGGGGCTGGAGCGTGTCCAGGGAAGGGAACAGTGCTGGGAAAGGGTCTGGAGCACCAGAAGCAGCTGAGGGAGGTGGGGGGGCTCAGTGGGAACCTTCTCACTCTCTGCAACTCCCTGACAGGAGGGGGGAGCCAGGTGGGGGTCAGGCTCTGCTCCCAGGGAACAAAGGACAGGAGGAGATAAAACGGCCTCAAGTTGTGCCGGGGGGGGTCAGGTTCTCCCCAGGGTAGGGACCATATCAGGTCTGGGCCTCAGGATGATCTCTGGGGTCACAGCACTTCCCAGGGGACACCCTGGTCACCATTTTGATTCTTTATTCCTGCATCAGGTTTCAGCTCCTGTAAAACAAACCTACAAGTCACTCCGAGCTGCCTCGGGTTTTAACACCGGAGCTGCCAGGGATCAGCAGAAAAGGAGCCAACAGCAGCTCCATTAGGCACCTCACTTGGCTGCAGTGCACTTAACATCTACTTTGCCTAATTTATAATGTCACAATCTCTCATTTAAACCACATTAACAAAGATTTCCTTTATTTGTCAAGTAACCTCAATATTCATTGTAATATAATGCCTATAAAAATTTCATATGGGCAACAATACAAGTACATAAATTTTACAATCAATGCAGGCCAGCAGTGCTGGGCCTTAATAAAACAACTCTACTGTCACAGTATCAAGTCAAAATTCCACTGGACTTTCTCTGTTTCCAATTTTAAAACTGATATTTTCATACATGCTATGTATTATTTTAAAAATAACCTTGTACAAAATACTGATGCTCTAAACCATTAAATATCACTCCTATTTCTGTAGTAGCAAGACTGAGCACCTAATCCTTGTAAAACACAGGCTCCAAACTATTTCACGTGGGATAAAAATGAATAGGTCGGTTCTTGCAGATAAATTTTAACATTTTCAGAAGAACAACTGGATTTCTGTGGTTATTTCTCATCCATTTTTTCCTCTAAGGCCTCTTCAATAACAAGTAATTGTGCAGTCATGGTGAGTAGCAGAGCCCTGCTGACCTCAGAGACCATCCCCTCCCTTGTGCTCACACAGACTCCATTACCTGAGCCTCACAATTATTAACAAATAATAATTATTAACAAATAATAATTATTAACAAATACCTCATCCATTGAGGGAGGAAAGTATCCACAGTCCTCCTGAAATGAGGGCCTGAGGCATGAGGAATTACTTGAACAGAAAAAAATCTATAATAAAAGCCAAGAACTTTGCTGGAAGGCCCTAAACCCCAATCCAGGAATCTATCCTATTAATAGTTTTACTGTATATCTCCAAGGCCCACATGGAACACGGATCTATGAACACTGTGATCCAAAGCGAGAACTCTGGAGGCCAACCACCACATCAAGTTAGACAAGAACTGGGAGGGCTGAACACTGTTAATCAGGTTTGAGATGATAAATTATTCAGTGACGAACTTGCTGTTTATTTGTTCTTTAAGAACTGGGTCTGCTCTCTGTGTATTTTAACAACCTAAACAAAACACTGATTTCAAATGAAGAGGGAGCAGTAAACAGAGATCACAGAATCCCAGGCTGATTCGGGTTGGAAGGGACCTTAAAGCTCATCTCATTCCACCCGCTGCCAGGGGCAAGGACACCTTCCACTAGAACAGATTGCTCCAAGTCTGTCCAACCTGGCCTTGAACACTTCCAGGGATGGGGTAGCCCCAGCTTCTCTGGGCAACCCATGCCAGGGCCTCACCACGCTCACAGGCAGGAATTTCTTCCTAATATCTAATCTAAGTCTTTTTCCAACCAAACCTTCCCCTTGTCCTGCTTACAGAAGGACCCTCTTGTAGATAAACAAGCTTGGTCTGAGTCACCAAAGCCCCCAAGTTCCCCCTCCTCAGCCTCCTGGCTGCCCCGAGCCATCAGCGCTGCCATCACAACCAGCACTGTCCTGTTCCCACTGACCACCAGACCATTAGTAACAAAATAAGCCTTTTTCATAATAATGACATGAAGAAAGCTTTCCTCTGCTCCAACAAGTGCACTGCAAGAAATTACATCAACAGATCTTAGTCTAGACAATGGGAGAAGATAATGAAAATTTAACGTGTGACTGAAGTGTCCACGAAAACACTGATTGTGTAACGAGCAAATCTCTCCAGCGCCTCTCCTCCTCTCCTGACATCTCATACTTCTGGTCTGATGGATAACGTGTCAAAGGAACAAAACGTTTTTTTGCAGCTACAGAATCTGAACAAATCTGTAAAATGATCACAGGAGTTCACACTCCAGCTCCTCAACAACACTCCCACCCCTTTAAAATCATTTCTCCTTATCCATATGAGTAAATAGGAATAAATTACATGGAGTGGATTACGACTACCCAGAACAATCACCTCCTAATTCTCACATGGAAGTTAAAAGGTAGAAATCCCATTGAGTTCAAAGAAACAAAGCAGAGTCCGTGTATCCTTCACAAGGATGGAATATTTTAAAATGGAGCTTAGCACGTTCCACAAACAGGAAGGAAGGTTCCCTCTCTGCTTTTGTCTATTGACTCATTAGTTGCCCTACACGTAAACAATCTGGGACTAAAAGCTGCATTTCACAGAAAAGCAGCCATTTCTGAAAAGCCTTCCCTGGCCAGAGATGCCGTCAGCACAAACCATGAGCTAATGCGAGAAGTGGCCGCTTTTGCACAAGTTCATCTCGGTTCACAGCATGATCTACCTTAATAGCAGCACTCAAAATGGGCAGGAACAAAAGTTGGCTAAAAACGAAATCCAGGGAGACTTCAGAAACAAAAGTATATCTGACTGGACTGCAGCAAAAACCTCTTGAAAAAATACCAAACAGCAAAAAATTCAGACACGCTCCGTTTGTGGTCCACAGGCCCCAAGTCAACTGAAATACTAGGACAAGTATGTTTAGGGAAAATCAAAAATCAGGCTTAAAATGTTGTGAGAAATGCAACTTGGACTCTGGGTACCTCTTTCTGGGTACCTTTTTCTTCGTGGAAAGGGAGGTCAGGCATTGGAAGGGGCTGCCCAGGGAGGTGATGGAGTCTCCATCCCTGGAGGTGTTCAAGGAACGACTGGAGGTGGCACTCAGTGCTCTGGTCTGGGTGACAAGGTGGGGATTGGTCACAGGTTGGACTCAATGATCTTGGAGGTCTTTTCCAACATCAGTGATTCTGTCATTCCATGACTTGCAGGTTTAACTGGCCCCACATTAAGCAGGTACCTGGGAGCACAGCAAAGCCCCAGGGCCAGAGGCCCAGCAGAGCCCACCCCACAGTTGGTCAGAGAGAACTCATGTAGCAGTGACACAGTAAAGTGGTTTTGGGAAATGAGTATTTTTGCAAATGAGACACATACATTGACCCTTGGCAATGCCAACAGTCCCCAGGTGCTGGGGATGTGGGCAGCTGGGTGCTCCTGCATCTCTTACAGCCCCTGGGTGAAGCTGCCCTCAGAGAATGAGCTGAACAAACGCCCCAGGGCTTGCAGAGTGGGTCAGAGAGCACTGCCTGCCCAGAGCAGGCGGGAGGATGACTATCTGCATCATCATCAAACCATAAACTCTGAAAACAGCACAGGTCACTCCAACCTGGGCAGCTCCTCCGCCTCAACAGAAAAGGGATTTATGTCAAGCATGAGCTGAAAAGTCTGCTAAAAGGAGCTTCAAGCTCCATCTTGAAGCTCTAGATACTCCAGCCAGTATCCTGGTCTTTCAGACTTGATCAAAGAAAGCCGCTGAAAAGCAACCTTCAAGGTTAAAATCCATTCTGGAATTAAACAGCTCTTGCTGCCTACAACAGCCTGCCAGGGCACAGGCAGCAGTCGCAGTGCCAAGGTCGGTACAAGCGGAAAATGTCTACTCCAAGACACGTCCGAAAAACTAAGAAGAAAACACATTATGTTCTTTCCAGCACAGAAAAGGACATGTGCACAGCAAGAGCATCCGCAATCCTCCCTCTCAGATGAGCTACAGCAGCAGCAGCAAACCAGAAGGTCCCTTGGAGAGGAGCTCACCCAGAGCCAGGACTTGTCCTTGGCTGCAACCAGAGCCAGTGCCAACAACAATCAGTCTTGCTGTTGGCCTGTAACAGATCAGGAATAGTCTGTGACTCCAAGGATAAGCATGGCACTCAGGAGAAATTAAACTTCTGCTGGGAGTACAAGTGTGTCTGCCACAGAAGGCCTCCAGGATGGCCACTGGAGTCCGAGGAACGGCCCATCAGGCAGCCCCACTCGACAAGGGCAGCAGGAGCATGACTACAGTGGAACTGGGAATATGGAGAAAACAGGAGTTGCAGAGGAGAGGAAAAAAATTAGCACTTGTTTTGGTATCTCCAAGACAGATAGGGAGGGACTTTTTCCGAGAGTACATAGTGACAGGACAAGGGGAACGGCCTCAAACTGAGAGTACATTTAAATCAGATATCAGGAAAAATTTCTTCCCTGTGTGGGTGGTGAGGTCTGGCACAGATTGCCCAGAGAAGCTGTGGCTGTCCCATCCCTGGAAGTGTTCAAAGCCAGGTTGAACAGGTCTTGGAGCAACCTGTTTTAGTGGAAGGTGTCTCTAACCCTGCCAGC